GTTGTAGATATTGGTGCATTTTTCTTTAAACTTGGTCAACTTTAGAGAAGTTTGGCTTAGAACAAAACTAAAATGACCTACATTTTTCTTTGAAGGGAGTTGTGAGGTGACAAACTACATATTAACATGTTACAACTTTATATTTAGCTTTGTGTGTTATTCATCATTGTGATTGTTCTGAATTCCTTTTGCAGCTTCTTGACATGCTGGAGTTCATTCCATCTCATACTGCGGTATGCTCAGTTCTAGCATGGTTTCGACTGGCATCAATATCTGTTGTTTCCTCATAGCTTCCATCACTTATGATTTTCTTAACCCATTTGTAGGTTGTGTTTGACCACGATGGTGAGCTGTGCCCAGGATAATTCATATTTGAGTATACACATTCTGTTTAATGTTTTAACATTCATGCAGTGACTCTTATTGATCAATCTCTGCAACACACACTTGTCACATTTTTTCCTCAATAAGCATTGGATCTTTGCCATAATATAACGATTGCACAGTTGAACTTATTGAGCTTATTAATTGCACTAGACCAGCGTATTGATCCACTGCAAGCTTTACCTTGCTATGTGATTTCTTGTTACCATTCACGAATTGTTTTATTCAATATATTTTCATCAGAGATGTTTGGTTAAATTTGAGATCAATTTATTTAGGGTCTTTATTTTTTGGGTGGGGTGGGGTGTTGGTTCTAGTTTTTTCTTTTTTCTCCTTGAATTTCTTCTTGAAGCTGAACATTCCTGGTGGATGAGATTGTGAGATGGACCTAGTATCTGTGCAAATTTAAAGTGATTCATTTCCTCAAGTTCTTAAAGCAACGAAGTCACCAAACTTTTCTTTTCAGGAGTTCCATATGGTCATTATACTGCCATGCCATCCAAAGAATGTCACATGGCAAAAGGTAAGAGTGTAAGATGTCTCAAATTGATGGGATCATGGTAGAAGGTAATCTGTGGCTGTCAGTTAGCATCTTGGGGATGCATCAAAGATCTTGGACTGAGCCTCAATCCACGATTTGTGTTTGACGGCCTGGAGCCCTGGCTTGCACATAAGCAATGTTTTGTTGAACTCCATTCCTTGGTCAAGAAAGTGTTGGGTAGAGAGAAGTATGAATGGTATAGGAGTGTTGGGTAAACCAGTTTTGGAATATTGCATTTTGCCTTTTTATTTTCTAAGAATTTTATGGCGCTTAGTTTCTTGGTTCTTATTATCTTTCCAGTTACTCTTTACTAAAAAAACGCGTAGAATATTGGAAGCAACAAATATACGAGGCATCAAGGGCATCTTTGATGCTCCAAGTTGGGAGGTCTTAGAGATACTTTGCTTACTCATTGGAAAGAGAGCATGCCAACACTTAAACTTTGATGTTTTCATCAGCCACTTTTTAGAAGATACCTTTGCTGTTGTATCATGTTACTCTCATCTTTTGAATCCTATAAAGAAACAATACCATTCTTTTCTCCCCCTTTAGGAATGACCTTTCGTCATATGTTGTACCCTGCTTACAAGAGCAACCGCACTCCCAACACCTGACGCCGTTGTCCAGGGCATGAAATACTTGAAGGCATCCATTAAGGCGATGTCAATAAAAGTAATTGAGGTAAAAATATATCAGTTATGAATTTGCTACAATCTGGGTAGCTATTTACTATTTATTAGTATGTTTGGGGAACATGCATGTCCCATGTACCACGGAGCTGCATCTCCGTTAAATGAGATAGCTGCTGATATTTGGCATTGTCAAATAATTGATTCAGGTTCCAGGCGTTGAAGCTGATGATGTTATTGGCACCCTGGCTGTAAACAGTGTTTCGGCTGGTTACAAGGTAAACACTGGAGCCATTGGTCACTTTCAGTTGTTCTATCCATCAACTGTTCATCATTGATAATACCTAGAATGTTCTATTCGAACTTGAGGTCTTGAAAAGATCTGACCAGAAAATTTACAACTAACTGGATCACCCATCCCCAAATGCGGCACCACATCCACCCACAAAACACCACAGTCATATAATATATTCTCATATATTTTTGGTCCTTATTTATGACGAGTGCCTTTTGGTCTTAAAATGCCCCTTCTGAAGGTACGGATTGTCTCTCCTGATAAAGACTTCTTCCAAATTTTGTCACCTTCTTTGCGTCTGCTCAGGATTGCTCCACGCGGATCAGGGTAAGTTAAAATGGTTTGCAAGTACTTAACTGAATGTTTGAAATAGTTAAGTTTTATGATTTGGACATGCAGGATGGTTTCATTTGGAGTTGAAGACTTCGTCAAGCGATATGGAGCACTGAAACCCTCGCAGTTTGTTGATGTTGTTGCACTTTCAGGAGACAAAGCTGACAATATACCTGGTAGCCTTATGTTACTGTTTTGTCCTATGATCCATGCCTCTTCTAACAAGTTTTTTCCTTCTTTTTTTACTCTGGTAAAAAAGAATTATGTATGTGAATATAACATACTATGGGTTGGTTGGTCTGTTTGTTTCCTTTATATGAATGTAATTTCTGATTACTATTGGTGACAGGCAAGGAGATTTCATTTCTCTTTTGCACAAAGGTAACCAAGTACACTAGTGGCTAGCGTCATATAGAAATAGTGCTTTCTTGTGCTGGATTGCCTTTGTTTTTCTAGGCCCTGTTTGGGACCACGGTCGTGGCCACGTGGTGCGATAGCTGAACCGTGGTTCCATGGCTGCGGTACTGTTAATCGGTCGCAGAGTTCATTCTTGCAGTCCCGCACTCTTGTGTGGTCGTGAGAATCGCTGATGTGGTGCTGCGTTTGGCGCGATTCTCGCGATCGGTGGCCGGGAATCTGATTATAGTCGGTTCCAAACAGGGCCCTAGTCTACTGTCGTCATAATCAGGAGTCCCACAAAGTGAAGATAAGATAACTACCTGGAAGAAGTTAGTGTGAAGGCAGTAGGAACTTTGGAAATAAAATAAATACATCTAGTCATGTGCTCTTTGTTGTAGCTGTTCTTTATCGAGGAACAGATAATTTGACAATCTTCTACAGATATTCTTTCGTGCTTGTTCTACTTGTTTAGCTATTGGTTCTTTTGTTCTGTACTGCACTGTGTGATTGAAACTGTAATTTTAGCTGTTGAATAAAAACCTTTGCTGACCTATCAAATTAGCTATTAACCATACTAAGTCTATTTACCTTTTTAGCACAAATGCAATTTGTTCTGTGCCAATCTGCTTAGAACTGTTACCAGTGATCATCCATCATTCGTTGCCACAGTGCATCTCTCTAATCTAAATTTATCTTTGCTGGAACCTGTTGACCGAGATATGCTTATGATGTGATTGAAAACACTTTTATTTTCAGGAGTTGAGGGGGATTGGAGATATTAATGCAGTAAAGCTGATAACTAAGTTCGGTATGCTTCTTTAAAAATCTTTGCACTTATAAGACTAATTTAATCTGGGTTAATTAGTTTAATATTTGTATTGCTGTAGCAGAGTTTATTTTGTTATGTTTAGCTTGTTGGTTCAAACTCATTGATCTAGTACACATACTATAAAAATTGGATAGGTTTTAGAATCTGACATACACTCCAAAGTGGGAAGGTTTGAATCCATCTGTCTTTTGTAAATCACATGTTTAGCCTTGTCTGTCAACCTTTTTCTTAGGGAACACCAGCAAAGCATATCTGTTACCCTGATTATCTTAGGAGGTTTCAGAGACATAGCAATGATCTTTTTCTTTTTTTTTTGAAAATTCTAAATAGGTTCCTTGGAGAATCTACTGAAATCCGTGGATGAAGTTGAGGATGAACGAATTAAACAGGCAATGTGTACATGATAACTCCTCCCCTTTGTTTACTTTGTTTGCATGTATCAGCATCCACTTGCATCTGCACAGAAACTCTAGCAATGCTGGCTTGATTTCACTTCATTTTGTTATATGATGCCTTTGTTGCAATGGATTTGGTAAATGCATGGTCCTGAAAAGTTAAATATAATTTTAGTTCTTACACTTGAAATTAATCTGGCATCTTTTTGATTGACATCATTGTGGGTTCTTTACAGGCTTTGATTTCTCACTTGGAACAGGCAATCCTTTGCAAAAGCCTGGTATTCTTTATTGATATTTCTGTGGATAGTTATTGCTTCGTTTCTAATTGTCAAGAGAACATCTCAACAAATTCTTTTCATCCAAACGACATTGTAGGCCACGTTGCGTTCTGATCTTCCTCATTATATGGTTCCTTTCAAGGCAGCCAACCTTGTATTTAAGAAGCCACAGGTAACTTGAAATTAAAATTTAAGCACCATACCATTTTAGTTTCTAGGGATACTAGTGTTCTCATCTTATGTTCCTCCCTGCATACACTTAAGTTCTTGTCACATACTGCTTCAGGATGATGGAGTCAAATTCATAAAACTCTTACGAGCATTGGAAGCATATGCAGAAGGCTCCTCAGCAGACCCAATCATCAGAAGAGCAACCTATCTTTGGAACAAACTTAAATGATGATGACACTGATGTTTTCAGCGTTGACTAAAAAGGAATTTTACCAAGGCTAAGAGTTTGGATTCAAAGCCTGGTGACGTAGTGCTCAACACTAATGCCATTGACTTCTGTGGACTCGGCGGCCAGCCATACCCAAATCGCAAAATCAAATTGTTGCTGGCACAGGTGTGCAGAAATGCATAAATCTAAGGTGCCGCTGCTTAGGCAAAGCAGCTCAGGTGTTTATATCACGCGACTTAGCTCTGTAGATAAAAAAATGCACAACGTTGCTCCGCCTTTTTTGAGAAGAAAGCTCGCGGAATCCATCTGGTTTTTTTTGTATCTCTGTACTACAAATTACAAAGGAGTTGCAGGCGGAGCTGTGGAGGCCAAAGCAGGGCAACCGTGTGGCTCAACATCCGACCATTCGACTATGCCTAGCAGCTTTCGTGAAGTCTAATACGGTGGTGAATCTATACGCACAACTGTGTGTTGCAAAAGTCTGTACTTGTTCCGTCGCACACAGATACTGTAACTAGTTGCCGGCTACCTTGACCAAGCACAGCAAAACACCAAACAAAACGAGCCGCCATGTGCCGGCGTCAGTTCGCCGAGACACGGCTCCGCCCGGGATGTAGCACGAGCTGCTCTGCGGCAACTGTTGGCCCTGCGTGCTGCCTGGCACGGCGGCCGTGGTCTCGCAGAACCCCGTCGGCATCGTCCCTTTGCTCGGTTGCGGCGTGCCCTGCAAATTCAGATGGCATCAGTAACTCCCCGTCCCATCAATCAAGGGCAGCAGAGATGGCGAGCACTGATCTAGAACTGGAAGTACCTGTGCCGGAACCGGGGTCAAACTCGTCGGTGCCGCCGTGCTGCTGCTCTTCGCGAGCCCGACGTCGTAGTTCGCCGTCAGGTCTGTCTTGTACAGCCCGAAGGACCGCTCCGACTCCGGGCCCCCCTTGAGGTCCTCGTCGTAGAGCGCGAAGATGTACGTGTCCACCGACTTGCCGGGCGTCCGCGGCGTGCCGACCTGGGACTTGAGGTGCGCCACGAGGTTGGTGTTGTAGGCCTTGGCGTTGTCCACCGTGGCGCCGGCCTCGTCGGCGTCCCCCTTGTACGGCCACCCGGTCTCGGCGATGACGATGTCCACGTCGCTGTACCCCTTGGCGTCCAGCGCCGCGCGGATGGCGTCCAGCTGCGCGTCGAACATGTTGGTGTAGGTGAGCCCCGACTCGGCGTCGACGCGGCCCGCGTTGGGCTGGAACAGGCAGAACGCCAGCGTCTCCGGCCGCGTGTCGGAGGCGTACGCGAAGTAGGGGTACGGGTTGATCATGAAGGGCGCACCGTTCTGGTGCAGGAAGTCCAGCACCGGGTCCAGGCTGCCGGCGAGGTCCGGGTGGAACGCGCCGGAGGACGGCGGGTCCGACGCCGACAGCACGGCCATGGAGTGCACGGTGGAGATCTGTACGTACAGTAGTCGCCAACTTGGCTTGCTCAGGAACCGTCCGGCCAACCATGCATCTCTACAGTGATCACACATGTGTGATGAGAGGATATATATATACATGCCTTGGTGGTCGAGCCCGCCGGGAGCGCGGCGAGCAGGTTCTGCATGGCGGGGAGGAGCTGGGGCGCGAGCGTGGGGTCGCCGGAGTTGAGCAGCTCGTTGCCGACGGAGATGGCGGAGACGGGAACCGTGGTGGGGATGTTGGTGGCGGCCCAGGACGCCGCGGCGGCCGGGGAGGACGCGAGGTTCGGGACGGCGCCGTTGGGGATGCCCAGCAGGATGGAGATGTTGGAGCCCGCGAGCGCGGCGACCAGGTCCGGCTGTGGTTCGTACAGGCGGAGCTTGCCGATGGACGTGGACATGAGCAGGCTGGCCGTCGACGCCGGCGGCGGCAGGTTGTCCGCGATCGTCCCGTAGTTGACGCCGATGAACAACTGCGACGCTGTAAATAATCAAGTTGCATATGAGAATCAAAGATTACAGCGCGCATGATTCATGAAGTGATTTCGTGTGTGTTCAGTTTTTCCAGTTACTATAAGCTGACACACGCACACAAAACACAAATGACAGTGATACGAATCAGATTTTAAAATTTCAGACAAAAACAAACAGTTTTTGGGATGTGACCAAATGGAAGAGAGCATGATTTGTGGGGGCCGGCGCATAACGCGTTTGGCCACATGCAAATGTAAGTACGTGGGAACGAGAAGTGGTTAGATGGCAATGATACGCACAGTTAGGCAGCCATGGCCTCTCTTTTGGCACCATCATCTGTCATGCGTGCAGGTACCACACAGGCCAGTCCCACAGACATGACGGATTAGCGTAGTTTGTTGGTACTTTGTTTCGTGGAGCATTGGTGGCTGCTGCTGCTGCAAGTCTGGATTAGTTGCAGGCTGCAACTACCAACAACTACTCAGGTGGTGTTTAGATCCGGTGACTAAAATTTAGGAGGTGTGTCGGGTGGACGTTGCACGGGGTGTTCGGATACTAATAAAAAAAATAAATTACATAATTCGTCAGTACTCCACGAGACGAATTTTTTAAGCCTAATTAATCCGTCATTAGCACATGGTTACCGTAGCACCACATTATCAAATCATGGACTAATTAGGCTTAAAAGATTCGTCTAGCAAATTAGTCGTAAACTATGCAATTAGTTTCGTAATTAGTCTATATTTAATACTCCATGCATGTGTCAAACATTCGATGAGACAACGACTAAAATTTAAGAAGGACAACCAAACACCACCTTGCTCCTACCCTACAGTCCTACTCCAGAGTTTTGTCCAGGAGGCGGAGGCGCGGAGCCATTGATTTCTATGCATTAATAATTGGGCAATTGGCATGCCCCTGCTAGATTCCCTGACCAACCGGTAGGACTCAAGAGTGTGATCCATGGGTCAAAGTCACCAACTCGCCTTCGTATCATTGAACCAATCCATTTTGAGCATCAGTGCTGGACCCATACAATGAACACTCCGTTTGAACTCTGAAGTTGCTTAGGAACTACTCATGCAGTATGCTGGCGCACACAGTTGATGATCTCACGACAAAACATGTAACGTCTACTCTATTCTACTGCTTTCCACACCAATCAGTAGAATCCTGCATGGGCCTGACATGAACTTGCCCCACCCCAATTGACATGACTTGGTTTTGTGTGGTTCAGCTCAGCGTCGCCTGTTTTGAGGGCAATTTTATCAGGTGTTAAGAATACGACTGTGACATGTTGGAAAAGAGAAGCCCAAGTTCTCTACAGCAAGGAATTTGCTGGAGAAATTTCATTTTCATGGTTAGCAAAAGCAGAGATCTCAGCAAATCCGTCCCATCCTTATAGAATAGCGAAAATTGTGCCATCAATCACCATCGACTTTACACGCCACTTGGGAAAAAAACTAGCAGCAAAGTTCGGTAACTACCCCCACGAAAGAGTGAGATACGTATGTGCAGCGTGTAACGTATGCGGAATTTTGTGTCTCCAGAAATGATAAAAGTAATGTACAGAACGCTCAATCGAGAAACCAAGAAGTATGCCAAAAGTGAAGCCACTCTCAAAGCGAACTAAATTGAGTAGGCAACTAGACCACTAAAGTTTTCAGCGAACGATCTTACTCTGAACTGAAGGGGGAAGAAGCTACTTAGTCTACATGATACGATAGGATTCAGTGGTAGGCTGTAGTGTATATACATGCCGAGTTTCACCCTTTCAAGAGACAGCTCTTGTAGCCTAAACAATCAGTTCACAGCTAACCAAGTAGAACTAAGTATAGCAGACAGTAATATGCATATTCGACATTCACTTGCTGAATACCAAGAACTCTGAACCCTGGAGTGTGAAGTCTGCAAATTAGCAGGGAAAGAAATGGCACCATATGAAACTTACTAGCCAAGCGGAAGAGGAAGAGCTCCAGGATCCCCAAGACGATGGTAGCAGCACCGTGCTGCCTCCCGATCCCCATGCTACCGCTGCTCACTGCAACCGCCCTACGCGCCTCCAATGGCTACCAGTGGCGAGGAAGAAGACGAAGGCGCTGAGGAAAGCAAGGCGGGGGAGGCGGGGACGGGAGACGCACGCAAGGACTCTGCGCCGTCGCTGGCTGCAGGGTGCAGGCAGAGTCTTTTCGCCTACTGCGTAGAAGAGGAAAAAGCGCGCGGCGACACCGTGGCCCGTGGGCGTGGCAAGGACGCCAAGCGTTGTACGCGCAGTAGACCCTGGTCACCGTCTGCGGTCTGTCTCTTTTGCGCGTATATCTGGAATCTGCCTGCCTGCACGAGCTGCGTGTTTCGTGCAGCCACGCCTGCTGGATTCTCTTATAGGTGGTCGCCGCGGGTTGCTTCGGACGTAATGCTCCCGAGATTGGCTCAGCTCGACCGGCCAAAAAAGGAAGAGCAGGGGGCGACAGGAAAATGGAAACCAAGGACAGGGATCGCTTGCATCGGAAATCATGGCGGCAGCGCGCGTCACGCTTTCGTCTTTGCAGAATCTATGGGGGTTCCGGGAATTATTTGCCCGGCCAGGCCGGAGGATGTGGCTGTCTCGGTGGGAACAGTGGAGTCGCGAGGACGTGATGATGATTTGATGGGCCGTTGTTTTGCTCTCGGAGCCTCAGCAATCAGCCTCTTCAATTTCGCAATTATGTGGGTGCCATACAATACAACCATAGGCAGGGGTGTCATAAGCAGGGTTTTGAGTGGATGTTATGCGCGATTACGTTGTGGCGTCGGAGCAGCCACACGTGTAGTTATCGGCGCTAATTAATCGATGCAATGACAGGAGGGCATCAATGATCGTACCGCGCGATGAGGTCAGGTGAAAAGGAAGGTTCGATGCGCCAGGCAGCAGGGTCAGATGGCAACTGAAAAGCGCGTCTCGCCCGCTGATCACTCTCACTCCAATAGTCCGTGGAGCAAACCTATGGACTATGGTTTTGGGTGAGCTTGAATATATGTCGTGGGAACCGAGGATCCACGGACGATTACGAGAACATGAATAATAGACATAGACTTATCGGCGACGAACACCGCGGCGACGAACGTCTATTATTTAAACACACGATTCGGCTCACTCTAAAACACAAGCGTACGCGGCCAGTTTATACCCACGGCTTCACGTGCACGTACACATGGCAGCCTGAACGACCTGGTTTCATGCGTTCGTGAGCCACATACTCCTTCGCATGAACGGCTCTCCATCCTTCTCTCGCGTGGCGTGCTCCTGCATGCGCTTAACCGCCAACGACTTGGCCTCTAGACTCGATCAGCCTACACACGCATGCACTTGATGAACGACATGCAAGCACACACACGCTAACTAACCAACTGATTTGAAACACACTCGAAGACATGATTATCCTAACAAACTCCCCCTAATCTTGACTTGCCGTTGCCGGAGTTGCTGCATCTGCCGTCATCATCATCGCCACGGCCGCCGCTACGGCCTCCTGACCTGACGCGGCCACCTCTGCATGCCCCATCTCCGCACGAACGCTGTAGCCTTCTTCTCGGCGACACACGCCGTTTCTCCGGCCGGCGACACACGCCGATGCTCCGGCTTCGCCTCACCAAGGCAACCGTGTGCCCCGCACCTCCACAGACCGACACACGCCCAGAGCTTCATCGCTGAAAGGATCAAGATGTCTAAGAAGGGGTGAATTGAGTTAATTCTAAATTTTTTACAATAATTAAGTCATACACTTAGCCTATTTCACCCCATTGTGCCTATTGTTTCTATTGTTCTACCGCACAAAAGTTTTATACCCTAGGTTCCAATCCTACTCTAGCATGACAATTCTAAAAATGTAAAGACATAATTAAATTAAATTGCTCAAATGTAAATGCTCAAAGTAAAGAGAGAAAGAGGAACGCGACGATGTTTTTTCCGAGGTATAAGAGTCGCCACTCCCCACTAGTCATCGTTAGAGCACCCGCGCAAGGGTGTAGCTCCCCTTGATCCGCGCAAGGATCAAGTGCTCTCTACGGGCTGATTCTTCGACACTTCATAGCGGTGAATCGCCCACAACCACTCACACCATGACTTGGGTCATCCACAAGCTGAGCTGGATGATCACCAAGCTTCCAATCACCACCGAGCCGTCTAGGTGATGGCGATCACCAAGAGTAACAAGCACAAGCTTTCACTTGATCAAGACAAGCCTAATTAGAAAGGTGGATGCACGTTTGTTACTCTCTATGTACTAATGAGGTCCTTAATCTTGGATTATTAAATCTCAATCACCCCACTAGGCTCTTGCACTCCGTTGCACTCCAAAAATATTTCTCAGCTGAACAAATAGACAAGAGAGAGGAATTGAAAAAGTAGGAGAAGTATAAATACCTCCCACTCAAAAACACAACCGTTGGGGGCCGACTCCCTTTTCTACGCGACAACCGGACCGTACCGAACCAGACCAAGTTCCCTTGGGTTCGACCCTCACAGATGCTACAGCGCAGGCACTGAGTCAGTGAGGACCGTTAGAGGGTCCGGACCCAAAGCCACAGTCTAGATGCCCCAACCGGACCCAGTCCGGAAAGAAAATGCCTTCTCTGGACCTTACTGTGTACAACCAGACTCAGCTTAGACACGGTCCGGACCGGTATTGCGCAGCGGGTCTGGATGTCCCTAACCGAGTCCTAGCCAAACCGGACCGTGCACCCAGGGTCCGGATGCCCTTCTCACCTGGGTCTGGAGCACTCCTGTGCCTGAGGGGCTCCCTGAACGAACCACGTGTCCTCCGGACCCTTAGACTTGGTCCGGTTCACCCTGTCAGACAGGGTCCTGTTCCAAGTTGTAACATCCTAGATGTTTAGAAGCAAATGAAATTTGATCATGATGAAGCATAAGTATCAAGCATCATGTCAAGAATGCACTCCATGTTTCAATTTTAGTATTTATATGTTGTTTATGTGGTGTTTCAAGTATTACATGAAATGTTATTAGTAATAATGATTAAGGTTCTTTGTGAATTTGTATATGAGAATTTGCTTAAACAATTAAAATTTTGATAAAATGAACTTTGTTGTTCAAAGTGAGCTTTATAATGTAGAATCAAAATGTAGTGGTGTTTTGAATCAAACATGTTTAACTTGAAGCTCAAAGATTGGATTTAAAACTGATTTTCTAACTTAGCCATTTTTGCCTGTCTTTGAATACCAGTTTTTAAGTTCAATTTTTGGGTATTTATTAAATCAATTTTTATAAATAAAAGTGTTGCAAAGTTTGTTTCATTGGTTGGTAGAATGTTTGGGCTTTGACTCTATGCAATTGGTTGTGATGCTTAATTAAGGTTTAACCTTTAATTCATTAACCTAACTAGCTAAACAATGTTGTTTTTAATCTCTGAAACTGAACTCTAATTTAAGTTTCAGTTTACCCTTCTTTGAAACTCCAAAAATTCAAATCCATTGATCTTTTGACATTGAAACTTGAAACAAAGTTGTGTATCACAGATCAAAGAACAAGTTTTACTAAAACAGTTTTTGAAGTTATGTTGCAAAATTGAGAGAAAAAGGGAGAGGAAATCGTTCTGTCAGACATGCACAGTGTTCACCGGTGACCTGCTTACCTGCTCGCCGCGCCGCCTTACAGCGCCGCTCTTGTGCACACGGCACGCAGCTGCTTCGGTGGCGCGCGCAAGCAGCTGCTGCCCTCGTCTGGACGCTTGGCCCATGCGTTCCCCTCGCCGTTTTAAGCACAGCGCAGCCGGCCACCCTTCCTTTCGCTTCTCTGCTCGCCGACGAACTCCTTGGCCGCCGGCGAAATTCGTCGTGGCTGCTCTGCCCTCGCCCAATAGCTTGTATCCGCAGCGCCGTCTCGTCCTTGCGCGTCGCTTGACTCAGCTTGTTCCAGTTCTCTCCGTCGGAATCGGCCATGCGCCGGCTTTCCGTCGCGGCGGACCACCATAGCCGCCGTGTCGCCCCTCGCCGTGGCCAGCTCATCCCGATGTGCCTCCCTCCCTCCTATCTCTCGTTTTAGCTTCCTCGTGTTTTCGTGATGCTCTTTGGCTCGTACGTTTTTGTAGACGAGATCCCAGTGCGATGGAACGCCGCTTCGCCGCCCAGTCCGCGCCGCTGTTCTCACCGTCGACGCCGGCAACCGCATCAGCGTCGTGTCCGTTTCAACCAACAGGTCGATAAAGTAGTGGTGAGCTCCCTGGTCGTGCGACGAACACCATATAGGTCTATTAGGGCCGGTAGAAGCCGGAGCACCGCCTGTAGCAGTCGCCGCCGGCACGACCACCTCTGGTCCGCCGTGCTTGCGTGGCCAGGGCGCCATCGTGGGTCTCAGGCTGGGCCGAGCATCTCCACGGGTGCACACGGTCCTGAGCTTGCCCTAGAACCGCCTCTCACCGCCGGTGGTCGTCCCAGCCGGCCGAATTCGGCCGTGCAGATCTCGTCCTCTGCTCCTGCGTCGAGATGAAGAAGAAAAGGGAAGAAACGAATTAGAAACTCTTTCGAGGGTTTCTTATGCTTAATGACAAGAGAGAGTAGTCTTCAAATATGGCCTTGGTGGATTAGTTAAAAATGCAGAGTCCCTAATGCAAATGTCTTTTTCTTTTTTCCTGTTTATCTTTTTCAGAAAATGCTATTATATGCTGATTCTTGTTTAATTCATAACTAATTACTGGAACATGCTAAATTATGAAATTTGCTCTGTAGCCTTGTTATGATATGCTCTACCATGGAAAAATATTAGTTGGTCATTTTTAGTAGTTTTGGTATGCTTAAAAATTACCTCTTTTAATTAATAAATAAACCTTGCATGATTTTTATAGACTAAAATATTAATCCTTTAATCATGAAACTTTTTGTGTAAATGTTATGTGATTATACCGGACTTCATAAAAAGTTTGGTATTGATTTGATAATTCTAACTTGGTTAATTAATTTAAGTGTGTTTAAATACCTTTTCCCATGAGTAATAAATATTAAAAGGGTTTAAGAAAATGTTTAGTTGATTTTG